TGTGACTCAGCATGTCTTTCCTTAACCCAAAGCTGACAGGCATGGCATGTATGCCCACTGTCAGATTACTTTATTGATTGTTTTTACACATATATGAGTTGTGATACAGCAACATGAAGAATGTAGTTATTCTTTGGTTATATATTGTAATATTTTCTTTTCAGGAACAGGATGCCATGGTAGTAGAAGTTGATGGAAGTGATGACGAAATAGCATTCAAAACTCCTCCAAATATGGTGAAGAAATTTGTCAAGATTACTCCATCATCACCTGCAAATAAAATCCTTACACCTGAAGGAAAGAGCACAGCCACTGAGCAGTCCCTTGTGAAGAGTCTCTTCAGCAAAAAGAAAGGCCTGCCATCTACACCAAACAAAGCTGAAAATGTACTTCAGGCTGCTACTCCCCAAACTGTCAAGTTGACACCAGGAGCCAAAAAACAGGGGAAGAAAAGGAAGGCGGAAGAAACTGCATCCTCTGATAGTAAGGAAGAACCCACAGCTATTCTGAAGAAAACACCCAAGAAGAATGCAAAGACACCTGGTACCCCATCTGCATCATCAGCCTTAGATCAAGTAACAAAAGAACCAGTCTCTGCAACAACAACATCTGTTGGGGAGAGTGAATCAGTTGAGGCAAAGACTCCAAAACCAACTAAAACTTCAGTAACTCCTAAGAAAACTCCAAAAGCTACTAAGAAAACTCCCAAAAAGGTTCCTGGTACACCGGCTGATGAAAACAAGCCAGTTGAGGCAAAAACTCCTAAAACAACTAATACTTCAATAACTCCTAAGAAGACACCTAAAACTACTCAGAAAACTCCCAAAAAGGCTCCTGGTACACCAACAGATGAAAACAAACCAGTTGAGGCAAAAACCCCTAAAACAACTGATTCTTCAATAATTCCTAAGAAAACTCCTAAAAAGGCTCCTGGTACACCAGCAGATGAAAACAAACCAGTCGAGGCAAAAACCCCTAAAACAACTGATTCTTCAATAATTCCTAAGAAAACTCCTAAAAAGGCTTCTGGTGCACCAACTGATGAAAACAAACCAGTTGAGGCAAAAACTCCTAAATCAACTAACACTTCAATAACTGCAAAGAAAACTCCTTCCAAAGCTACTCAGAAAACTCCCAAAAAGGTTCCCGATGCATCAGCTGATGAAGACAAACCAGTTGAGGCAGCAGAAATTCCTAAAACCCCTGTAGCAAAGACAGGTATGACAAAAACACCAAAATCAACAAAAAGAAAAGATGAAAATAGCAATGCAGGAGAACAACCTGTTGCAGCCAATGGCATGACTCCACTCAAAAGAACAGTAGAAGAACCTCAGGCTAAAGAACTCTTTAAGAAATTAAAGGCAGAACAAACCACAACTCCCAAGAAAACTGCAAAGACACCTGGTACCCCATCTGCATCATCAGCCTCAGATCAAGTAAATGAAGAAACTGTTGAGACACAGACTCCCAAGGCAGCAAAAACTCCCAAAACTCCCAAAACTCCAAAGGCAAAGATAGATGGTACAAAGACACCAAAATCAACAAAAAGAAAGGCAGGTGCTCCATTAGGTCAAAGTGATGGTTCAGCAGCATTACCTACTCCTGTTCTTGACGGAACTCCACTCAAAGAGACTGGAGAACCACAAGGTAAAAGTCTTAAGAAACTAAAAGTAGGTCCCACAGAATTGGCTACAACTCCAGCAAAAACTCCAGCAAAAACTCCAGCAAAAACTCCAGCAAAAACTTCAGCAAAAACTCCAGCAAAAACTCCAGCAAAAACCCCAGCAAAAACTCCTGCAAAAACTCCTAGGAAGGCCATTGAGAAGACCCCTAAAGTAGATGAAAGCTCAACAACTCCTCTTCGAAAGTCCCCAAGAAGTGGTAAGAAAAATAGGTCTTAAGCTCCTGCACCAAAGAAAACAAAAAAGACAAAAAAAAAACAAAAAACAGAAAATTTCTGTGTCAATAAGAGAGACTTGATGGGAGCCACAGGAGCCACAAAATCTATTACATTTTGAGAGTGAGGATTTAGTTTGTTAAAGCTTATGTATGTAAATTAACATGAATTATATTGGTCTAATTTGTAGACCTATAGTATTTGGTTGGATGGTATTTTTCTTGTCAACAGGACATTTTGTAACCATGTTCAATTATAACAAATATTACTGTAATATTTTAGAAAGTGTCTTGGTTTACTTTTTAACCAAGTACCAGGATTTATTTAAATGAAACATGTTGTTATTAGTTTAAATTGAGCTGTACTTCCAATTATGCAGACCAATTTATGAAAAAAAAGTAATTTACTGTAATTGAAAGATATCTACAGTGAATTTTTGTTGTTTTTCAATAAAAATGTGAATGGAATTGTGAAAGTTATTTTGACCATGATGCTTTGAAATATCACATTTCATAGATTGTATAATACTATGCAGTATGTAATAAAAGAATTTATTAATATTTCCTAACAACTGCTTGTTTTGCTAATACATAAGCCTCTGGAAATAATGGTCATAAGGACACAAATTGTAGTTTATAAATTAAACTTTTATCCGTTACTTGATTTAAGAATTCACTTCAAATATCCAGAAAAGAGTAATTGCATTAAACTTTATTTATCTAATGTTATGGTTTCTCTGAAGATTTGCTAAATTTTGTTCTTGACCCATTTCCGTGTAACAAACTTTTCCTTTTAAATTGTAATAGTATCTTCCAGCTGAGGAAATACAAACACAAAGTTGAGTATTCTTCACTTTTTAAATAGAAATAATTATTTTAAGCAAACAGGCAAGACAAAATAAGAAGATGGGACTTCAATTGATAATTTGGATATTCAAACGAGCACTGCAACAATATTTTTTTTTATTTACAGAATATTTACAAATAAATGTTTTATTTTAATGTATATTCTGTTGACAAATGTACAGTTTTAGTCATATAATTGTAAGTATATTAACAAACAAGTAATATGAGATTATCACAAAAAATATACAACTAACTCCACCTCATAATTGTACAGTACAATAATTCTATTGCAGATAAACATATCACTTCATTGTAATCAGTACATCAGTGTCAGCTATAACATATATCATGCTCATAAATACTGAATATTTGAAGTATATCAGGTACAGAGTTTACAAAACAGTATGATGAGCTCTAGTTTGACACGAGTTGTTTACAAACAGAATTAACCTTACAAGTTGTTTTGATACTGGTGAAAATAGATTCTCATATCTAAACATTATTATATCATTTCTTAACTATCATAATTAATATGCTGTGTGGATACATATTTTCAAATCACAGGTAGGTTACTTAGCCTATTTCTATATTACCTAAAAATAAGCAAAGCTGATAAAAGTATAGAGTTGTCTCTTCAGGGTGTCAGTTGCAGAAGTTTAGTTGTTGACTAGCATTTTGACTGCAAGGAAAAAAAAAGAAATTATTAACAAATGTACATGAGGAAAAGTGAAAGTAAATAAAGAAATTATATAAGTAGATCCCACTGAAAATTGTAATCTAAAGTTGATATAAACAAAGTATACACTGCATTTATGATTGGATTTAATGATCTAAATGCCTATTCAATTACTTATAGATTAATTTATAACTAAAATAACTTTGTTCTACTTTATGGAGATGAAGATGTGGGTGGGGTGGGGAGGGAGGAAAGGAGAGAAGGGGAAGGGAGGGAGGGAGGGAAGGAGAGAAGGAGGGAGGAAGAGGGAGAGAGAGGGAGGAAGAGAGAGAGGGAGGGAGAGAAGGAGGAAGAGGGAGAGGGAGGGAGGGAGAGGAAGAGGAAGAGGGAGAGGGAGGGAGGGAAGAAAGGAGGAAGAGGGAGAGGGAGGGAGGGAAGAAAGGAGGAAGAGGGAGAGGGAGGGAGGGAGGGAGGGAAGAAAGGAGGAAGAGGGAGGGATGAAAGTAGGAAGGGGGAGAGGGAGGGAAAGAAGGAGGAATAGGGAGAGGGAGGGAGGGAAGAAAGGAGGAAGGGGGAGAGGGAGGGAGGGAGAGGAGAGATTGCGAGTGCGTGTCAGTGCGTCAGTGTGTTTATGGTCCTTTGTGTTTACTGAGATTATAAAGTCCAAGGGAAAACTGACTGGCGATTCGTCATGACAATACTACTGAAAATAATAATTGTTATTATTATTATAATGACAATAACAATACCGATGACATTAGTGGTAGTAGTAGTAATAATAATAATGATAATGATGATGATGATGATGTTGTGATGATGATGATGATGATGATCATCATCATCATCATGGTAATAATAATGATAATAATAACAATAACAATAATAATAATAATAATAATAATAATAATAATGTCACAATAACAATAATAATAATAATAATAATAATAATAATAATAATAATAATAATAATAATAATAATAATAATAATAATAATAATAATAATCATAATGTCACAATAACAATAATAATAATAATAATAATAATAATAATAATAATAATAATAATAATAATAATAATAATAATAATAATAATAATAATAATAATAATAATAATAATAATAATAATAATAATAATAATAATAATAATAATAATAATAATAATAATAATAATAATAATAATAATAATAATAATAATAATAATAATAATAATAATAATAATAATAATAATAATAATAATAATAATAATAATAATCATAATGTCACAATAACAATAATAATAATAATAATAATAATAATAATAATAATAATCATAATGTCACAATAACAATAATAATAATAATAATAATAATAATAATAATAATAATAATAATAATAATAATAATAATAATAATAATAATAATAATAATAATAATAATAATAATAATAATAATAATAATAATAATAATAATAATAATAATAATAATAATAATAATAATAATAATAATAATAATAATAATAATAATAATAATAATAATAATAATAATAATAATAATAATAATAATAATAATAATAATAATAATAATAATCATAATGTCACAATAACAATAATAATAATAATAATAATAATAATAATAATAATAATAATAATAATAATAATAATCATAATGTCACAATAACAATAATAATAATAATAATAATAATAATAATAATAATAATAATAATAATAATAATAATAATAATAATAATAATAATAATAATAATAATAATAATAATCATAATGTCACAATAACAATAATAATAATAATAATAATAATAATAATCATAATGTCACAATAACAATAATAATAATAATAATAATCATAATGTCACAATAACAATAATAATAATAATCATAATGTCACAATAACAATAATAATAATAATAATAATCATAATGTCACAATAACAATAATAATAATAATAATAATAATAATAATAATAATAATAATAATAATAATAATCATAATGTCACAATAACAATAATAATAATCATAATGTCACAATAACAATAATAATAATCATAATGTCACAATAACAATAATAATAATAATAATAATAATCATAATGTCACAATAACAATAATAATAATAATAATAATAATAATAATAATAATCATAATGTCACAATAACAATAATAATAATCATAATGTCACAATAACAATAATAATAATAATAATAATAATAATAATAATCATAATGTCACAATAACAATAATAATAATAATAATCATAATGTCACAATAACAATAATAATAATAATAATCATAATGTCACAATAACAATAATAATAATAATAATAATAATAATAATAATAATAATAATAATAATAATAATAATAATCATAATGTCACAATAACAATAATAATAATCATAATGTCACAATAACAATAATAATAATAATCATAATGTCACAATAACAATAATAATAATAATAATAATAATAATAATAATCATAATGTCACAATAACAATAATAATAATAATAATAATAATAATAATAATAATAATAATAATAATAATAATAATAATAATCATAATGTCACAATAACAATAATAATAATAATAATAATAATAATAATAATAATAATAATAATAATAATAATAATAATAATAATAATAATAATCATAATGTCACAATAACAATAATAATAATAATAATAATAATAATAATAATAATAATAATAATAATAATAATAATAATAATAATAATAATAATAATAATAATAATAATAATAATAATAATAATAATAATAATAATAATAATAATCATAATGTCACAATAACAATAATAATAATAATAATAATAATCATAATGTCACAATAACAATAATAATAATAATAATTATAATGTCACAATAACAATAATAATAATAATCATCGTAATGTCACAATAACAACTATATATTATTTCACCAGCATTCACGAAATCCAGGAAAAATTTGCTATGTTTCTGTAATCCTTGTTATGGCATAACTACCACGTACACTGACACTGACGAATAGTCTTACCTGGCCAAGCAATAGGTGAGAACTCGAAGTCCGCGAATGCAAGAAAGCGAGGTCATCAATGCAAGCCTCTCCGTCCCACGACTTCTGACGGTCAATCTTGGCGACGATTTCGTTAACCTCGCTCGTGGGTCTGCTCGAAGCTGGAATCACGAGGAAAGTTCGAGCAAGGTGTGCCAAGTTCGGCAGCAGACTCGAATTCCTCTGCCACCATACCAGGAGGTCGTCTGAATCGGAGTAGTCTCGTATGAGGGTGTACAGTTGTATCTCTCTCTCTGCCGCTCGCTCCTCCTCCTGGTCGTCGTCCTCTAGGTATGCCAAAGGGCTGTCGCACTTCTGCTTCTTTCGAGGCTGGCTCATGTCAGTGCTGACGTTTTGTGCCAAGTCCTTGATCTCCTTGTGCACTGCTGCTTTGTCTTCTGAATTCATTATTCGCAAGCTGTTCATACGAGGGTTAAAAAACACAGCTACTTTGTGATGAAGCTGGATGTCGACATATTCCTCTAAACATTTTTTC